AATGCATTAATAGGCACACTTTTCTTCCGCGCCCGTCTCAGTCTTTAAAAAAAAAATCCATCGACTTATCGATATAATTATCCGACTAGATGAATCTACTCTTCCATAAAATTACATTAAACTCATTGGCCATTACAATGGGAGATCGATCTGGTTCTCAGCGGAATAAAGGGCTTTTAATGCAAGATTGAATCATAAAGGCGATGCAATGAAGCGCCTGTGTGGGACTAAGATTACAGGTGTCTATATAATCCTTAATACAATTCGTCATCAAAAATCCACGCGCGCTCATTTACAGTCGAGACCAAGTGTCGGTCTTCCATACTACCCCTCCACCTTAACAAAAGCCGGATCCCCTCCATTCTTCTTAGACGTTTATAAAAAGTGCAAAAAGGGCGAAGCCGAGCTCCCGCGGCCCGAAGAAACAGTCGAACGTAAAAAGCCACGACTCCTTTATCCTATCGGAGCGGAGTACTCAGACGCGAGCCCTCGCGCCTTTATCCTCGGCATGCCCGAGTTATCCCGAGGTGAGTCTAGGCGAGAAAGAGAGTGGCTGGTGGTAGGACAGAGACGAGGAAGATATTATAAAGGTGAGTCAGTGAAAAAATGAAGGAGGGAAAGCGCGAATGCCCCCAAGAGCGTTGGAGAGTGACAGAGAGAGAGAGAGAGAGAGAGAGAGAGAGAGCGAGGGAGAGAGAAACAGACAGACAGAGAGCGAAGCAAGATGTGCAAAAGTCACGAGGAGAGAGCGAAGAATCATTTACTCCTTGACAGAGATTAATGGAGGGGGGAGGGGGGAGAAGAGAGGGCTCCGACTCCGTGGGACCAAGAGCCCCTCCTCAAGACGTGCTTCCACCGGGTTCCCGGGTTTCTGTTACGCGGATATTACCACCGCTAATAGAGTTGTGTCACTGCACCGATGACTGCTCCAATGGTTAGTCGGCCTCTCTAATTTTCTCTGAAATCATCAACGAACTGAAGAACGTCATCTTAAATATGCTCCGATCCTCATTTCATCATACGATTCATAAAGAACAGCAAGGCCGTCGAGACGCGCGAAAACAAAGCGTCGAGTGTAATTGGTCGATCGTGCAAGTACTTTTTACTTAGATGATCAAATCGATGCAATTGCGGTGTGATCGATTCTTTGCGCTCGATTGCGTCAATAAAAAAATGCGATTTCCTCAACCTCGTTCGGTTTGACTTAAGTGCATCCGAAGATACCCTCCGGCTAAGTTACCCTCTATCCAACGATCCCTCGAGCTCATCTCAAGCGGAATCAGCTTATTTATAAATAATTAGATGTATTAAGATAGCCTTAACAAATCTCCGCTCTGTGATAGGGAATCCGTTAGTTGCGTATTTCAATCGGCCGATCTGTGACGAAGCGCCATGTTCGCCTTCTTGTTCGTTCTTACAAAAAATCGGATATTTCCTCGTTTTCTCATTCGAAGCCCACGCGACAAGTCGGCTTTTCTCACCGTTCCAAATCCACGCGGCTATCTTTTTTCTTTCTACCCGCTCGCTCTTGTCCGCGAGCGTATCTAATCGCCCCGGTAAATTAGAAATTCATTACGTTGGACCAACTGCTCCCTCGGGAGATAAGGTCCCTCAGATTAAGCGACATGTATTCTAATTAATTTTTTTCCCCTTTCACCTATCTTCAACCCCACGTGTAATTCATTGAGATTTGTGGGTGAGGGGATGAGTGGTGACTGGGATAGGGGGAGAGGTGAATGGGGGTGGGTATAAGGGAGAAAGAGAACAAATGCCTTTAATCTGGATCTTTGGTCTCTTGTCAACGGCTTGCAGGGAAGACGAGTTTTGAAAGACACGCCAAGGCGAAAGTTGAGAAATCCTCTCTCGGTCTTCCGTTGGCACGAACGTTTACAATAAGGTACTTAATGTCCCTAAATAAATTAATGGTAGTCAAACAAGAGGTGCTATCGCTTCATCGTCACTTTCACTTTTGTCTCGAGTTAATGAATTATCGATCGCCTCACGTTTCAAAATAAAACAACAATTTTCCACCTATTAAACATAAATATGCCAAGCTTATGAAAATCTCTCGATACCTCTGTGGCATAACGAATTTAAGTAGCATCGTTTCTCTACAATCATTACATAAACAGTAAGCTAATGAGCTGCAAAAGTAAGCTAAAGTAATACTCGTACGATTCAGTCAATAAATACGCGTAGTCATGTCTGCTAACAACGAAAATATTAATTGCCTTTAACGTACGACATTGTTAATAATTCAAATTGATTGCGAAATTTGAGCCACTTGGTTGGCAGACATTGCAGAAGAAATTATTTTTGCTCATTTAAATTGTTAATGGGTAGGAACAAAATCAAAAAGCAAAAAGCAAGCCCAATATCTTATGACAAATTGCAAAGACTTTCAAATAGAGCATTGAAATTATTATGAATGATTCGAGTGAAAGCTCACATCGTGGACGTGAATAATATTGAGCCAATTAAGTAGTTCCCAAGACTGACTGCCTCGTAAGCAGCAAGATATGAAGCGTTGGGTGGGAGAAGTGGCCGGTGATGGGCGACGGGGGGGGGGTGATGAGAGGGGAGAGGAGGGGAGGGAAGAGACACGAGATTAATAATATTATAAAGACGCGGCTTGTGCGTTTGACAACCCTAAGAAATGTAGTGGGAACGTGAGGTGAAGCGAGAAAGACGGATATGTAGTTGGTGATGGTTCCTTTTTTTCTGTCAAATAGCGTAGCACCATGAGTGCTTTGTTTTTTTCTTTACTTGGTTTTTTTTTTTTTTTTTTTTTCATAAATACCTACTTTGAATATTAGATAAATCATCGTCTTCGACCTACTTGAAAATAAATTACTCTTGTGCAATCATTAACAAAACACCGCCAAGTTATACACGTGCAAGTGATTAATTGGAGGGGAGAGGTGAGGGAACGAGGAAAATTAAAAATCGCACTTTGGATGGCCGCTAGATGAATTCGACAAATCCAGCCTCTCGATGTGAAACGTCCTTTTTTTCCTTGCTATTCCGAATATAGATGAGGAGGTGGAAAAGTGACATCCACGGAAGGGCGCGCGAAGTGAGAATTAATAAAGAGAATGAGCGTGGTGACCCGAGCAGATAAATAAATCAAATATAAGCACAATAACGTAGCGGCCGCATAATTTCAATAAATATTCATCGAGTTTGCATAACAATCTCATAAGGCGGCAAATGAAACCGTAATGAAGTTAATGAATACGGAAAGAAAAACTGGAAATACTATTCCGCCTCGGTCTTTCAACAATTTTCGCAATGGCAGAAGTCCGACAAAAGTACGACTTCTGCTATTGGGAGAAGTATACGTTGTGCCAATTTCTTATATCGAGGAGCACATAATACACTTGAGCCTACAGGTAACAATTATTATTTACCGCATCAAAGACGTATTTTATACAACTGCGCACTACCATCTTACAATATAATTTCAAATGGCAAACTAGAAAACAGCGAATACCGTAATCACTGACCTACGTCAATTCCATTCATTATCCACGGGTAAAAGCCTTTGGAAAACGCGTCACAATACGATACATTTGTGGCCAAGGGCTCGACTGTAAAAAATTACAATTGTTTCGGTGGCGCAGACATCGAAGTGCCAACGAGATTTACACCCTCTCGTCGGGGCAGCCCAGCAGAAAGGGTCGCAGCAGGCCACAAAAGGGTCGTGCGGCCTTTAAACAGATCTCGAAAAATCCGAAAAAGCAGCCTCCAAGGCAGCATCGGTAAAAAGCCGCGATGATGCGAGGGACGGATAACACGAGGCGCGGGGATCCTTTTCAACGTGGGTGGGGTCCTTGTTGCGCCACCGGGAGAAAAAGAACGAGGGTTATTTCGGCCGCGGCGAACGAGGGAACTAATAAGATTTTCCCTTTGTTCCACTCGCCATCGCCTCATTGTATTCCATTTGTGCGCTCTCGTACTTTCGCCGGCGCGCGCTTTATTACGGCCTGCCCGTGTCTCACTGGCGAGAGCTGCCTTTCCGGTATACGTAGGATGGAATAAATGCGTTTAAGCCTTGCCTTGTCGTCTTTCTCTCCCCCGCTATGCATACAGACACATGCGAATACGTGTATGGTTCCCAGTGGATCGACAAACCCCTCCTATCACGATTCGCGATTCACGTTTCTGCCTTCTTTCATACGTACTATGGCTCTCCATGTCCCCTCTCTACCTATCTCTCTCTCTCTCTCTCTCTCTCTCTCTCTCTCTCTCTCTATGTGTGGGTGTGTGTATACCTCCCTCCCATCTTCCCTACCACTCTCCCACTCTCACTCTCTCTTCTCTTAATCTGACAATAAAGTCCCACTATTAGGATTATTAGCTACGAAGGCTTGCCGAACGCGCGCATTATCTACGAGTCTCTATCTGTCCTTTTTTTCTCAATCTTCACGACATTTTCGTATGGAAAGTGGACTGGGGCAACGACTAATTCCTATTAATTATCCGTGGATACTTTGCCAAAGTTGTTTTTATTATTATTAACCGCTTGTGGAAGTGTATCGTTTCTAAATGGCAAACTGCGGGCAAATTCGAACTATTTCACTTTATATTTAAAATGGCCAAAGAGATATAAGATATTGGCTTATGTACACGCTATATACACACTCTCATCTCGACTGGACGTATTAATTTACTATGTTTTCTATAGTATGATTTTAAGGATGTATCGGGAAATTGCTATTATCTTAGATTTATTTACAAATTACACGAGGCTACCGTTACTTTACGGAATGTAATTTACGTACATGGTATGTGTCTCTATTTTATTCATACGACCATTAAAGTACTATTATGCCCTTATGTAAAACAAAACAAAAAACAAAAATACAAGCAACAAACAAAGAAATAAACAAAAAAGAAATGAAAAGGAAAAGTAAATGAGGCAAAATTAAGGGAAATAAAGTGGCCATATATCCTGTGAAGGAAAAAAGGAAAATGTAAGTGCCGAATGAAATGATATTTTAAAGAGGATTATAGAAATACAAATTGTTCTTTAAACGGCGTCTAGCTTCGTGTCGACTTCTTCTTTTCCTACATCTTCTTTTCTTTCTTTTTTCTTCTTCTTCTTCCTCCTCCTCCTCCTCCTTTTCTCCTTCTTCATCATCATCATCATCATCATCATCTTCTTCTTCTTCTTCTTCTTCTTCTACTTCTTCTTCTACTTCTACTTCTTCTTCTTCTTCTTCTTCTTCTACTTCTTCTTCTACTTCTACTTCTTCTTCTTCTTCTTCTTCTTCTACTTCTTCTTCTACTTCTACTTCTTCTTCTTCTTCTTCTTCTTCTACTTCTTCTTCTACTTCTACTTCTTCTTCTTCTTCTTCTTCTTCTACTTCTTCTTCTACTTCTACTTCTTCTTCTTCTTCTTCTTCTTCTACTTCTTCTTCTACTTCTACTTCTTCTTCTTCTTCTTCTTCTTCTACTTCTTCTTCTACTTCTACTTCTTCTTCTTCTTCTTCTTCTTCTACTTCTTCTTCTACTTCTACTTCTTCTTCTTCTTCTTCTTCTTCTACTTCTTCTTCTACTTCTACTTCTTCTTCTTCTTCTTCTTCTTCTACTTCTTCTTCTACTTCTACTTCTTCTTCTTCTTCTTCTTCTTCTACTTCTTCTTCTACTTCTACTTCTTCTTCTTCTTCTTCTTCTTCTACTTCTTCTTCTTCTTCTTCTTCTTCTTCTTCTTCTTCTTCTTTTTATTCTTTTACATTTCACGATAAAAAGTCATAAGTCAACATCGCGGAATATAAGCTCACTACGTAATTCACGCGTGCCCATAAGTAGCAATGTACACACACGCGTACTCGAACACGCACGCACGCGCTCCCTTGCGCAAAATCGCATATTTGCTCAAAAGTGCTACACACATCCTCAAGCGGCATTAATAAATAACGCGCTTCACCTTGCTTCTTTCCCACCCCACGCCACTATTCTCGCCCATTTTTCGCCGTTTCGCAACGTCGAAAGTGCAGCCGGTAAATTCCTAAATTAACCCCTTCGCGCAACATGAGCGGAAGCGCGCACACACGGCCGATCGTAAATATTCTCTTTCTCTTGCCGTGCGCTAAAAGGAGAAGGAGAAACACCTCTTTTCGCCTCTTCCAGGCAAAAACATTGCGCGCCCAGCCTCTTACGACGTGCCCGTGCAATATCCCTAGTCTCTCTCTCTCTCTCTCTCTCTCCTGTAACGTCTCATCTTCGTCTTAGCGTGCAGGGCGGTAAATTTAAATAACGGCCGAGCTCGCGGCCGTCGGATGGAATTCGCGTGTTTGGCGTCTGCGCCGGGAGATGGAAGGAGGCCCGTGGAAGTCAGGAGAAGTTGCCGAGTTTTAGTTTCAGTTTGAAGAGGCTTGAAGTCGGTTGAGGCTAGTTGAGGCGCGATATCGCCGAGGTGTAAAGCAAGCGAGACGAGACTCCCGTGTTAATTAATCGAGGGACAAACTTCAGGCCGTAGTACACGCACTTAGCGACGCCGGGACTTTATGTCCCTGTTGCTCTTTACTAGATTCTCCCCTTTTTTGACGGCCCTCTTTATTACTTTTCTCGTGTACTCCGCGGCGATTTACTTTTGCGAGAATGTTTCGATGTCAAATTGCTCATTGGCAGGCACAATACGTCGGGGTACGGGAGATTTTACTTTTTTCTCTCCTCTTTCGTCCATCCGAGTGTCGCGTTGCTGGAAAAAAATGATCTCGACTATTAAAGAAGCTGCGATTCTTTAATCATTCGGTCGCGCGATTACAATGCAATGAGATGCATATTTCATTATCACAGTAAATGGCGACTAGCGATAAATTTGCTTTGCGATTACCACCAAACGATTGTGGTCGTAGCTGAATTTTCAGTAGCTGATAATCTAAATTTCCATCAGCCGTAGCGATCAACAAATTAATGCAAAGTCATTAATTTACTTTTTCTTCGTATTTATATTTGGTAGCCAGCGATCGGCTAATCGACGAGACGGCGAAGGCCTGTGTTTGTAAACAAAGAAGTTGTTATTTTTGCAATGGTACGCGGATCAATTGGCGGGCTAAAGGAATTGAATCTAAGCCAAGAGATCACGACTGCGCCAACGCGCTGTTCCCATTCGCATTTTATTGTAATAAGAAAAGCATTTACGTCGCATACTTGCTGTTCGTTACCTTGACTGGAAATATTTTTGTTTTTTCATCGATATGTTGAGATATTAATGAGCACACCGCGCATTAACTTTAACCTCCATGATCATTTAATGAAGAAGGGACGAATTAATACACAATATTTGTATATATATATATATATGGCACACAAGTAATCTATAAGAGATAATTATTTATAATTATTAATTACACTGTATTTTAGAATTTTATCAATAAAAATCAAGGCAAATAAATGTATTTATGAAACAACTAAATAATTTAAAGCTTCATAAGTCCAATAATACAATACGTCCGCGTTAATACGTTACAGTTCTGTCTTTTCAAGCAAACAGCTAATCGACATTTGCAGGACTCGATATTCGATTTATAATTATCGAAGCTATTATTATCAACATTTTCTTATTTTAAAAGCATTAATTTCACAATACTTATCACATTCGAAACTCTTGCACAAAGGCATAATTAAGAGTGGAGTAAATTATCTTATGCGAATTTCAAATCCTACAGTATGAAATTGCAAATCGAATAAGTAATTTGAACTCAACTATCAATAAAATCCGGTTATCATAAAAAAATTTAATTTATATTTTTAAATCTGTACTTTCTTTTCCACTACTGGAGGATACTCTCCCGGCAAAAATGTCATTTTCTAGTACGTCGCAAGCCTCTTGTTACAAGAAAAATTCCTCCTTCAATAAGCACTCAAAGAAGTTTCGATTCAAGAGAAAATAAAGATTAACTTTCTACTTAAGAACGATGTCTTTGTACGATCTAAATTTCGTATCATAAAAAGCTCCACTGCTCCCCTCACCTACCGCCCTCCCTAACGACTCCTCGGCGCTACCACTACCACCGTCTCGCCCCGTTCACGTCTCACAAAAAGAAATACCAGAGTACGAAAACGACGAACACTGACTCAATAAGACATTTGCGCGGAAATTCCAGGCGACGCAACAGCCACACACAATGTCAAACAAAAATGGGGGAGTTTATTTCCATAAATACATAAACAGCAATCACACTTTATGCGGCAATGAATAACTAAGGGCCAACATCTGCTAGCGCGGCGCATAATAATTGGGATGGTGGTGGGGAGGGCGGGAGGGGGGGGCGTGTCACACACGCTCCTTATGAATCCGAAATTACGAATGACCGCGTAAGAGAGGAGTCCCAGAGTGTATTACGGACGTTTTTCCCTAAACGCCGTGGCGGTATTCAGGTGGGTAAATGGCCCATCGTAAGGAGGGCGAACGGCCCCTCGGGAGTAAAAATGTATATGTGCGGTGGGGGTGGGGCGGCGGACAGAAAAACGAGGGTAGGTACAAGGCCGTAGCGCGCGGCCAATTCGTAAAGGCCAATAAACAACGGGCAATACTCGTAAAAAACGGACTTGCCGAGTGGATGATTTATCGCCATTGCCATTTCCCCAGATTCATTACTCGCGCGTGCGTGTGTGCTTGGGCGCGCGCGTATGTTCAACTATAAGGAAAGGGAGCGGGTATCGATGCCGTCTTCCTCTCTCCCTTACGTACGCGCTCGCCTTTAATCAGCTCGGAGCTCCTGTCTCCCGAGCGAGTACCAATCCTAGAAAATCCCCTTACACGCGCCCAGACAAAAGGACGAGAAGCGAAGGATGAGGTCTTATCTCTCAGGCGTCGCCCTCCTGCGCTTATTAAAAGCCGTCGATAGGATGGAATATGCCCGAGTCCGATAAGACAAAGGAAGTAATTGCTCGGCTCTTGTAGCAATCGAAGCCATTGAATTGGAATTTTACCTCCCAGCGTCAGCAACAACGACAAAAAGTGACGCTAAGGTGCAGATGTTGCTGTTCCTCTCAACTTTTCGCTAGTCGCATGGATGGAAGGCGATTGCCCGAGAGTAGGAGTGAACGATAAATAAGGTGAGCGCGTCATTACGAAGAAAGACACCGCGCGCCTCGAATGTAAAATTCATCAAACTCGTAGAGATAAAGCCGATGGCCCCGGGGGTTTTTAGGAGAGCGTCCCAGCTAGTAAAATACCTCCGAAATATTATTTCGACCGGGATAGCCCTTCTTTTCTCTTTCTCTGCGGTGTCAGCTCGTGTGCATCGGGCATAAGCCCCGCCACCACCATAAATCCCGCGCTGGCGTGCGTAGGGGGACCTTTTTTTCTCCCGGGCACAACTACCACGTGGCTCCCCTCGCGCCTGCATTACAGGCCAATTTTTGCGACTGGCAATGGATTATCGCCATTTTTTTTTTACCCCCCTTTCCATTCTATTCCTCCTTGTTTTTATTTACCCAAAATCCAATGGCTGTTCCTCATCTTAAACAACCACCATCTATATCTAACCCACCAATACACAAGACAAAAAACATCTCTTTAACTGTTAACGTTATTTTGGGATTGCGGGAGTCAGGAGGGGAGTCACGGAGATGCGACTTTCGAAAGTCATCGTCACGAGGTTAAACTCTGCACGTACGTTTCTTACGATTCTAAGAAAAATTCTAAGAGAAATAAAGGAATATTTAGACGGGAGTGTGCCAAATCTCTAGGCTGCGACTGTTGCCGCAATTATGCCAAATTATTGCTTTCACGTGTCCATCAGTCGAATCTATTTCACTTACCACTTATCAACGGGCAATGCTTTTTTGATGATACGCAGCTACGTATAAGTAAGCTTACCTGCAAAAAACATAAAAACACAACAATTACTTACATGGAACGTTATTTATTTGCGCGCATAAAGATATAATGGATATTTTTCACTGATAAGTTAGGTACAATCGCGAATGGTCGTGTGCAATTGTTTTATTGAAAAGCCATGAGAGTTTAGCGTGAGCACTCGAATAGCATATAGTAAGTAATTAATTATCCGACAAAAGCAACGGATCACATATAAAAATCTCAGTTCCAACAAAGCAAAGGCGATTATTGGTACGAGCTTGAAACAATAATATTATAAGGGAGTAATAAAGGGAGGTGATGCAGGTGTTGGGCATTACCGATCGAAGCACATTTTTCAGCTCAGCGAAACTCATTCGTCTGAACAATGAGTTTAGTATTCCAAGGCGACCCCGCACGAAGCCTTATCTCGAAGCTCAGAGGGCAAAAAGGAGCGCAAAGTAACTCAACGTAGTCCGTCCGAAGTTGCCACCCTCGCGGCGCATCCTCGATACGTTCTCTATATCTCGTTTAAGGACGCGTCAAAGACCTTCGTGTGAAATCCCACGAGGACCGAGCCGATGGGGCCC